CTCTCTAGGTATCTCAAAGACCACGAGATAAAATTAAATGCAATGGAACTAAATAATTTTAAATAGCAAATTTCAAAGAGCCTTTTCACAACTTTAGTCTATAAAGAAACAGACATGGCTTACCTCCATACAAGCTAGGAGTGTACAACAGTGTATCCAAAAGGTATCGGCAATCTTTGTCCATCAAAGAGATGATTAACGTTGCATAGCTTTGATCAAATAAAATGTTGTCATCATTTAGTTACAGGGTACAATAAGTTTCAGAGAATACCTCTAGTAAATAATAATTCATGTTTATGTTCATCCAAGCTAAACTAGTAGAGGAAAAATGGAAATATTCACAACCTCCTCTAAAGTATGTACTAATAAGCAACCTGCCTTTGTTCACACTGATCTGCACAGCAACTACAGCAGAGCAGAGAGCAACTACAGCAGAGCAGAGCAAAGATCGGACAGCATTTACTGATGACACTGCAAGCTCAACACTGATTTTAGGTCAGTTGCTCTGCAACTAGCTGAAGTTATATGGGCTGATGTAACACTCCCAACCTTTATGATGGCTGGGGAATCTCAGTAAAAGGCAGATAATTAGTTTAGTCAAGACTAAAGAAAGTGCTGTAGGCTCATCTTCTGAATCACGACCTTAACCCACATGTTGGTACCTGCTTTACACAGTTTTAAAAGGCATTTTTTCCAAAAGAATATCACACTGTAAATGTTCAATATAAATTTAACTGAAATTTCAGTTATATATTGTATTGCTTGCTTTTATGTCCTCCCACCCTACAAGACAAAGAGAAAAAACATGGGACTCACCGCTGTCTGTCACAGGGATTAATGGCGACTAAGGAACCCCTGTCCCAGATGCCACCAAACTTCCCTCCAATCGAACTGATCAGGAAATAAAAGGAGGAAAAAAAACTTTTCTTTCATAGGTTCCCATGTCTAATGCTAATCACCCATTTTTATAGTTAGGTAAAGACCACAATACAGCACCCCAAATCAGGGTTTTGCTATGCTTGATCCAGAGAAGACATGTCTTCTTTCGATAACCTCTAAATTACTTTATTAACAAAGGTCTTAACTAAGTTTTCAAAATCAAGCAATTTAAAGGTGACATATCTGATGGAATGCAATTCTCCGGGACGAGAGTACTACTTAATTTAATTAAACATTCATGAATGATGATGATTTAAATGATAATGTAGCCAGGTACATTCATCAATCAAGACTAAATCAATTTTATACAACAATTTTGTGAATCCTGAAAAGATATACAAAAACATAGAAACAAAATTCACAATTGAGTGTACCTGGAAAAATCAAACAGATTGCATTGATACATGGAGATCTTTCCATCAGAACTCTGTAACAAAGAGACAAAACTTACAAAATGTAGCCTATTATTTATTTAAAGCATTAAAAAGACTTTAGACAAGTCTTATCAGGGACTGCTGATGACACAGATTAGGACATTTTAAGTAGATGGGATAACAAGTAAAATGTCATTTGCATTACCTTTTCAGTTGCATTTTTCTTATATTCAGGACTTTCTTGTTCACACTTCATTACTTCATTTCCAAACGCAGTGGGTTTGTCTAAGATATAGTCCAGTTATGTCACTCAAGAAAAGAGGCAGGAGACTGGAAAGGTTCTGGCCTGGAGAAATCCTTTTTCTTATACAAAATAATACTACCCATGTTATCCAATACCTTTATCCAATATAATTCCAATACCTTAAACAGCTTAGCTCCTGGTACATCTGGGACCACCTCCTCTGTGTAAGTTAAGTTTTGTTCAGCAAAGAACTGCTTTATTCCAATCTCACTTATCTCCACCCCCACAACAGTGTGTCCCATATCTACTAGCCTAGAAAACAAAGTGTGAAAAATTGGTTATTAAAAACTACATTATACTGCTGTGTGGCATTACACATTATTAAGTTATGTACCTGCTGAACTTTTACATGCAACATTGTGAGATTGTTTGTTTTTTTCAATCAAGGTCAGAAGCTCTTTCTTATAATCACACAATACGCACTGAAGTGTACCTTCAGGTCCTGCAGGTTAAACTCTGCTTAAACTTTCCTTTACTTAAACTTAAGTGCTAAATCAAACATTGTCAAGTAACAATTTTCCAAAGTGAAACACTTTCTTGAAAAAGTAAGGATATTAATCTTGCTCTGTCTTTGCAACGTCTTCTTTCATGGTTTTTAGGTTTTTGGGGGTGGCAGGCTGACATTCCTCTCTTGTGTGCCCTTTGTATACAGTACCTCCAGTAGAACGATTTGCAGGAAAACCCAACAAGTGATATACTGTAATCTGTTGTATTACAGTATACAGTATAGAGCACACCTGACCTGACTAACCATGATACACACAAGACGAAACACTAATTTTTATTTAATTGTTCATTTGAAGTGGTCTAAACGCATACCCAATACTAAAACTGCACACGAAAAAGGACTCCTTAAAAAAAGTGAAAGACCTCAACCATTTATCAAAAAAGGCATAATATCACAATATTAAATATAGAAGAAAAGGTGCAGGTATGGTATATACAGGGTTGTGAGATTGCAATAATACACTCATATTTGCTCTTCATTGCCAACCATCTGAGATTATACTGTGTGTCAAACCCCTAATTAACCTGCTTTTGAGAACACTGAAGGGTTTCCAAATACAAAAAGAAATCAACATTTTAAAATCATGTTCAGTCCAGTGCTTACTGTCTTTGGAAAAGTCATTTTCAATAAATGTTCTGATTTCATGCTAGAAATCTTTTTGGGACATTCTTGTTACCACAGTTTCTCAACATCTACAGTAACTTTTCCCATAGCTTCTAAGGGTAACACTCAAGTCTGTTTTTTCCCATCTCACCTTAGAACAGGAAGATTACAAATCCAGATTACTTATCTACCATAACACTGTCTACACATAAACAGTTGGCGTTGGTAATATGTGAAGACTTACTGCCTAAATATGAAACACATACCATTTCATATCAACAGCTTTTCCACAGAGAGGGAAGAAAAAACGCACCCCTTTCCTGCCACTAAGAACAGCATCAATGTGGCTCTCCAACATCCTGAAAGAGAATAAACTTAAACTTGTAACAAGAAAAGAAACCGTTTCTATAAATGAATGAAGAATGCCTCATAATGTCACTTCAACAGTATTCAAATTTCTTTTCTCATTGTTTTCTCATTCATTGGTACCAACACAAGAGCTGCCATCTTGTCTCAACCTGTCATTCTATCACAATGCTTACAACATTACACTGTACATGAAATCTACAAGCAAGGCGATGTGTTTTAAATGGCGTTATACTGCAAGCTTTCATACAGTTTGATTTCAATCCAGGCTTTTCTGGATGTATGCTGACATCAGTTCATTCACATGCTGCACTCCTGAATTTTATTTTTCGTTCCCCAAAACACCTTTTCTATGTTTTAGAAAAAAGCTGAACTTGATAACTGCTTTATAAAAAGTTTGGAAATGTATTTTATACAGTACAATGCCCTACTTGTTACTTTATATCATCAAAGACCATGTTCTCCATTTTTGTTTTGAGCCTGTATGCATTCCAAAACAGTTTGACTACAAAAAACACTATTTACAGTGACCCAGCTAAGCACAAAAACCAAATTGGGTTGCAAAAGCCCGCTTTGAAGATACTATAGCATTATTTACTTGTGCACTTGTGGCTGATGAAATCCAGTCATTCCCTCCTTCCAGCGATCCTCCCATTCGTCCACTGACATCACTCTGTCCTCCTGTACTTTGATATTATAACTGTCTGGTGTTTCAGCCATATTGGAACTTACTGTAAGAGAAAGGAGAAAGGACTTTCCATTGGTTTAATTGAAAGAACTGAAGATCAATCAATGACAAATGGAGAAGAAAGGAAAATTAAACTGGTATTAACTGTTCATGATAAGGTAATGGCCAACAACATAAGCTTGATGATCAACAAAACAACATCAGAACAATTTTTTTTTCTATTCACTGCATGAAGACTGCATCTTGTCATCACAGTCAACCTTTTGTTCCGGTGCTCATTGGATAAAATCAGATAATTCTATGATTCTAACCTATAAATAATTATATAATATATAAAATTGTATTGGGCTGTGTGGGTCCTAATGCCCCAGTATAGTGACGGGGACTGTACACTGTACTGAACGAATGAACTTACTAAATTTATTACAAATCACATGTTCCAAATCTCTACAGGTTGATGATGTAATAGTAGCCTGCTGGATTACGGCTCTCTATTTTCCAGGACTTTTAACACCTCTGCCTGCTCCTATTCTGACCCAGAATATCGTATGCAAAGAATATTGTGTTTCTGTGGCATTTCTATTATTTACACAGTAGACGCCAAAATCGTGGTCTTGCTGATTACAATTCAAAATGCAAATATATATACAGTATATTGCGTAGTAAGTAATTCATTAGGGGTTAAACTTACTTCTGATAAGAAAACACAGGAACATAGTATCTACTGTACACTCTGCAGGACAAGCCACAAATTAGCGGCTATTACAATAACGACACTCTTCTGAACTTAGACCTCTTCATCTGCCTATGTAGTCAGTATCACTTTAATTAATGCAGTGTTCTATCGTTGTCTTTTATCGCCTCAAGGCAACAACAGCGAAAGGCTCATCGGGCTGGTGATTTAACATCTGATTTTTTTCAGATAGCATGATTTGTTTGTTTGTTTTTTTAGAAAAACGATATATTAAAAATGTTTCCTGAGGTTTATTCTTTGAAAAACTCAGCCACGAGTTCACATTGCACAAACGCACGAACACCTACCTGAAACAGGATTCAGCACAAACTGAACTGCCCGTCTTTCTAAATGCTTACATGAACCTTAACGCGTTGGCTTCACGCTGCTTACATAAGCGCCGAACAGCAATGCAATTCCTTCCTATGAACATGCGCACAGTGCTTTTCGGGGAGGAGTTTCTGTCTGCCCCCTGAATGTAGTCACCTTGGAGAAGTCACAGACATGACACTCAACTCCCCCAAGTTCCCAGAAACACAAAAGTGTTAACGTGTTGTAAAAAAGCAAAACATAAAAAACACAAAGTACTTACATAGCATGCATAGGTGATTTATTCAACTATATGCAATGCAGACAATTGATTAATGTTATATTAAAACATCTTAAGTTAAGACGTACTTCGGAAAACTTGATGGGTTTGAATGAAAGGAACAGGGCTACAGTATGCTGACATTTGTTTTGATATTTAGGATGTTCTTAAACACGTTACATGAGAACATGCTGTACATATTTTTGGAAAGAGTTTTCTTCAAGTATGTTTTCTTTATTGCATAACCTATAGTTTAATAGAAAAATGCGATTTAAAAAATAAGTTAAAAATACAAAAGAGATTTCTAGCAGCAATTCGGATGCACTTTTTTATAAGTTGATATGACATTGGGATAAACATAAGACTACAAATTGTTTCAAGAGAACATTTTCTCCAGGAACACAGAAATTGTCATTCGTTTTTACTCATACTATTCTAGTCATAGTTCAATATAAGGAACCTATCTCAAGCTTAACCTTCTACATTCCAACAATCGACTGTATACAGTATACCAAATAAAAATGTGTATCTGTTACAGTAATTTAGAATCACGTGGATTTGAGTGTCAGTTTAAATACCTGTAATTTTACACGTTTTTGAAAGACTGCAAACATAAATGATTACAGGTGATTAGGTAGAAACATTCTGTGCAGTGAGACATAAGCTGTAGGCATGCAACAAGCTTTTTCAGAGAAGAGGAATTTCAACCTGCAGGTCAAATCATAGCCTTGCTCTCCTGATGTGCTTCGTCATTGCAGATGTGTTGCAATCTGGCGTTTGATTGACAATAAAAGCAGAAATGCTTAATCATCTTCATCAGGAAGTGTTTTGAAAGAGAGAAAGGAAATGCTAGTACTCCTGTTTATATAGTACATGAATGCTATGCAGAACCATTAGGTTCACAATCAAGACTGTAGTGCCAGAAATAGCAAGAAAACCCTTGGCTGAGAGGTATTTGTAGGAAATCCACAATTATTTAGTTTATAAACCTTTAACGAATACATGAATACCTCATATCTTACCACCATCCAGTACTTCTGCAAGATTCAGCTCTTCAAGATGAAGCAACACTGTAGATCTTATTTATTGTATTATACCAAAATATTTATTAATTTTTGTTCATCCAACTTCACACAATACTCTATACTGTTCTCAGTTCAGTAATTGTTCTGAATGCAAGGTGCCTTTCTTGCCATCATTTGATAACTAATAATGACTTCAGTGGAACACTGTAAGAAATAAACTCAAACTGCAGGTCAGGTCATATGCAGTCCTTCAGATTTTCAAGTCCTTCAGAGGCCACTTGGATAGTAAAAGCAGGAGCACTGTTGCTGAGCTCCAATACCTACACCTGAGATATTCAATATTCCTGATTAAAACATGATATTCTGAAAACCTATGAGATCAGTACAGGACACCTTTTAGTGTAAAATGATTTTAAAAAGTGAACACAAGCAAAGTAGTTTCACATACAGCTTTAGATATATTATGCAGATCTACAACATTAACATGAAAAGAAATTAATCTGAAAGATGTTATAGCATTTTCTTTGATATCTACACAAATAGAAAACTTTTAGATCATATTACAGTAAAATATTTTACATTAGTTCCACACCTGCATTCAAAGGATAACAATTTCTAAATTAAACAAAACAAGATATATTTATTTCTGTTTCTGAAATGCCATTTATTCATATTGTCATAGAACTGTACATGATATGGTGACCTTTTAGTTTGGCTCAGTCCCACAACTTTCCAGAACAGGTCCAGAAACACAACCAAAAGCTGTGATGGGTGGGGATGGACAATTATGATAACACAAACAATATTGCAGTACAAAAGTAAAGGGCTTTTTCAAAGTTTGTAATCAGAAAAAATAAATTGAGCACTGCATACCAAGAATAAAGCAAACCCTTTGAAAGAACTATTTTGGTGTGAATGTTAAAATACTAAGGTTATTTATGAAGATTAAAGCATCTGGAGAAAAGCTGAAGAAAGCTCTGCTCTGATTAGGTAGGATTCTGACAGGATGCTTCCCCCTGTGCCTATTTTTGATTCATTAGGGGGTTTCTGCTAGGAGCAAAAGTTTCCTGTCGCAGTCCACTTTTCAGGTCCACCCCTCTCAAGCTGTTAAGGTAGCTTCTCTTCAAAACGGGTGGGATCTAGGAAAAAAAAAATAAAGAGTGGATAATGAGATCATTAAGTATCAGACAATACCCATGACTGCTCTATTTAAATATATATTTGGATGGAAACCTTCCAAAGAAATAAAAGTGAGATTTCAGTTTCCTTATTTTTCAAATATTCTATTTTGCAAGGACAGGAAGTGAGGTGCCAGCACCATAACAATATAGCACCATGCAGTCAGAGAGCCAAAAGTCACTAGAAGTTGAGTGCTATAATGATTAGATACTTCAGCACAGACCATCACATCCTGACCTAGCGTTGGTGGGCTGTGATTGGCTGTAATGTCTTCCCAGGTTAGATATTGCTGGCAGTGAACATTCTAGACAGCAAGTGACATCAAACTCATTATGAAAAATAGGCTTCATTCTCTTGATAAACAGGATGTATTGGTTCCATTCTGTGTTCTTCTTTCTTGATTTACAGCAGGTTTGACATTCATCCTAGTGTTTATGCATGAAACAGTCAAAATCACAATGGGGGAAGTGACTACAGTATCTGTACAATGTTGTGTACGTGGAAAAGAATTGCAAACCGGGGGTGGTGACGGAGCTTCAAGATGTCGGCCCAGGAATGACAGAAGACGCCTCCAGATGAGTCCGCTTCCTAAGAACATGATTCCTGTGACCAGCCAGAAGACCCTTGGATCCTGGGGACAAAAAAACAAAGTTTAAAATTCACCCTGAAAGTTTACTGTGCATAACTATGCACCACTGTTCTTCATAAGTGAATCCTGACAACAGGTTGCTTAACCCAAACAGTGCTCAGCCAACTGTATGCTCCCCTTTTGGGGGTTTGCTTTCAGCTGGCTAATGACATTACTTAGATTCAAGACAAGCAATCTCAGGACTAAAGGCCCAACCTGCACTCTGAATGGATGGAAAAGGGCATTTAATAGCTTCTGCCTCCCATGGTGAGGACAGGTTCAGAAGACCAAACATTAAATTAAAGTGAATCAGATTCAGTGACATAATGTATTAAAAGCTTCAAAAGAGAAAATTATCATCATGCAGCTTTCAGAATCATCTTGATTTAAGAAGCTATCAACAACTGGAATAGTGAAATTGGGTAAATTCCCTTTAAATTAAAACCTCTTCATTTATAACAGATAAAATACAAATAAGCTAAATTTGATCAAGTATAAAGGTACATCTGAACCTGGCTCAAGATATATTCCAACTCACCTCTTCAAATGAGGACTCCAGATTCATACCAAATGCTACTCCTACCAGTCCAAAAAGGGACAGAGAGAAAGTGCCCATGGTAAGCTGTAGGTTGAGACGCATCATGATGTTGCGATGGCTTTAAAAATATAAAGATAAACAACTTAGAATTGCTTCTGTAATAGTCTGTTGCACACAATACACAAATAATAGCTCATGTACCAGTTATTTCATTACATTGTAAAATGAACAGCAAGCCCACAAACTGTTGCAGGCCTCCAAGGGATAATGAGACGGAACGCTATAAAACATTGAAATTAAACTAAAACTTGAATGAAACAAGCAGCCAGGATAATAGATCAGTTACCCTAGCCATGCTAAAGAAGGAAGTCACAGTGCATACATCCTTGGATCATTATGGGAAAACGGCAGCATCCACACTGATGAACAGGAATTCCATATGCAAAGATTACCATTGTGTAAAAATAACCAGCAGAGGATGCTTCATCAGCATTCTTCTGTACGTTTCAGAATCCAATTTATATAGTCTTTAAAAGTCATAGTTTAAATATAGTGCATTAGGCAACTGTCCTCAAGACAGTTTACAAAAGGAGGCCTACTTGACCATTAAGCCTTTAGTAGAGATTTCAATTCAGATACAGCTACAGGCTCTTGGATGCACTGTAATTCCTCAAGTCAGGGGCTGGGACAAAAAGAGAACCATCAAATCAAGAATGGAATGATTTATCCCCTTATTTCTTGCACATGGCTGTTCAACTGCTTTAAAGACAAACGTGTATCGTTTTTATACCCATGTTTGTGAGCTACAAACCTGTCCAGGTTAATGAAGATGACGCTCTCCGAGTCATCGATGAGCACTTTTAGCTCTCGAGCCTTGTTCGCTAAGTCCTCTGCTTGTCTGTAGTAATTCTCCAGAAGCAACTCCATTTCCTCCGCGTGATCTATTCCCAAGCTGCTCTCCTCACTGCCACCAAACAAAAGGTCCCAGACTCTCATTTTACATTAAGATACTGTAGACCTTACATGCTAGCAGAATCTGAAGAGTAGAGTTGAGAAGCCTAAGAACTGCCTTGAAGATTGCCATTAATATCATTAGGATGAATCTTCCACTTAAACATAAAACAAAGTCTAGTGTTCAGTACATATTCTTATTGGCGTTTGCATTTTAGATGTAGATGTAGTCCGTAGGCCTCACAAATAAGGGAACAACATTATTTCTTGATATTTTAGGGTTCTTTTTGCTCAAAAGGCTTTGAATCTCAGAGGTGAAGAATAAGATTATGCATTTATTATTTAAAAGACTTACTTAAAGCACCGAAAATTATATACAGTACAAAATATTTGGGGATTTTACATACAACACCTGAGGGTCAGTCCATTTGGTGAGGCACATCTCCTCTATTAACTCATCCTCATCCAGAATCTTCAGCAGGCTCTCCTTGAAGACTTTTATATCAGTCTCTAGCTCTGACAGGCTGTAGAAAACACAATTCTCTTAAATGACTGAATCGTTAACTTACCGATTGTAGAACAGCATTAAATCAATCTTGAAAATGCTAGGCAAGTATTGTATATGAATAGGCCAATACTGTTTTAAATAAAAATATTTTAAATCCAGCAACAATTGATTACTGGATTCCTTGATTATGGTTTAAAACAAGTAGAGGTCCAGGTACTACCATTTTCTATATACAGTTAGACATTCTATCTACAACGATTATACATATTTCCTAATGTTTCTATTGCACCCTCATTGTTTGAGAACATGTTAAAGAAACCATAAGAGGTTTATCAAACTCACTTCTTACTGTTTTGTAGCAACACATGGAGCTTACTCCTTTCAACAGACAACATTTTGGGATTAACAAGTGACTCCAGAGTTTCGAACACCTGGGGCTGTACTTCATGCAGCCTCGCTTGAAGAGTACTGACCTAAAACAAGAAAAGAGTGCATTACGGACCTACAGTAACAAAAACAAAAAATCAGATGAATAATATGCAACACCATGGGACACGGAACGAAGAGGGGGGAAAAAAAAACCAAGCACTAATTAATTTCCTTTTAGGACCCCCAGTTTTGGAATGCTCAAAACTGCCATTCAACTTAATTCACCACCACAAATAAATACAAGTAAAGGAAGAGATGAAGTCTACATACAATACATGCACCTCTTGAACTGAATGCTGTCATAGTCCACTTCATTTTATCAACCACATACATAAATGTTAAATTTAAGATTGGATGAAAATGTTAAAAATCTTTTTAAATTGTTTGTTGAGAAGAAGCAAGACAGAATTAAGTGCAATATATATCAATATATGTTTACCCTGTGTTGAAGTATGGCTTCAATAGCTCTGAACTCAAAGGGTAAAGAATATGTAACCAGCTGTCCATCTCCTGCGAGTTGTGGGGCTAGTTCCCTGAACAGCCAGTGGTCCAGATTAACATTCCGGTAATCCAAGATGAGAAGGCACTCTGGGGTGATAACAGCTTTAAGAAACTGTCAAGACAAGCACTTTGGATTAAAAGGAACACTCTTCCCTTATTATTTTAATCAACCTATGCTGGTTTAGATTCAAGACTCTGGACTGAAGCAGTCATTCCCAAAACATTGTTGCTGGTACAAAACCAGTTTGGAGCTCTCACTACTTTTAACAACTTTTTGTTTTTAAGAAAAGGTACTTATTAAAGAAAGGATGTTTCTGTTGCATGCTTTATCCACAAATACAGTTCCTGGTACATCAGGAATCTCTAACCCCAATTCCAGAGAGCGCCAGAGCAGCAGGTTTTGTAAGTCACCACTAAATAACCATTTTCTAAAATAGAACAATTTAATTGTGACACATTAAATAGGTGATTTGGAATTTATTATGTAATTTAAATATAATTTACTGCTTAAGTCAAAGTATTCCTCAGTTCACAAGGAGATGAGTACCCTTAACTGAATAGGTTACTTACAAGATGCACTGATAGCCTGCAGGAGAGGTCGAACTTTCAAAATAGGTGACTTATAAAAGTAACCAAACTGGGTCTCTCCAGGACCAAGATGGGAGACTTCTGTGCTACAAACATTTCCAATTTCTATGTTCCCTTTACACCAGCCTTCATCTCCACAGAGAAACACATCCCCTACATGGTGCACAACAGAATTTGTGGATGTGACTCAACAGAATAGGTAAAACAAGATGATAGACTGAGCCCTAGTAGAACATCTTCCTTTAGAAAAAAGAGGTCAGAGTAATTAAGGAATCATTAATGCAAAATTCAAACAGCTCCCCTGAATATGGAAACATGCAAGACAGTAGCTAACAAATATACAGGGTTGATGCACAAAAAGCAGTAGCAATAAAGAATTAAAAAATAATAATATGACATCAACTCTTGGTCTGAAGCAAAGGGGGAGAGGAGTAATCATGTAAATAGTTAACCTTTCCCCTTCTGATCTGGAACATGTCACATTTTATCCACCTTTGTAAAGAAATTGCTATACCTCCATTCTCAAGATGATCCGGTTGTTTCGTGTGCTTATACTGGTGAGATGTTGGAATCTCAAATCCCGAGCTTGGAGATTCAGTTCCTGGTACAATTCTGTCTTTTTTCTCTCTTTAAGGAGATGTTTTGTTTTTAGATTTCAGTTTGCAACTCGGAAAACATTTGAATTTCATGTTGGCACAGTAATAAAACGTAATCCATACAAACAATCATGGGAGTGAAATGTTTCAGAAATGTCAGAATCATGAAGGGTTTTTTACACAATGCCAACATTTTCATGAAGCATACTCTTCAAGTTAGTGTTACAGTTTTTCAGTTAAATATAAAATACATAGACCGCTACATCCTAAAAGCATAACATACTTTAAATAATGTTTTAAGACAAACAATTGGTATGTCTATCAACTCTCTGTAGGTTAGGAAAACATAAAAACCTCATCATATGCACCCCGAAAGATTTTACTTACCAAAGGATGTAACATTTCCCTCTTTGTCAAATTTCACCTGTCCAATATAAAAAATAAAACACTGATACCACAGAGCAAACATAAAATATTTAGATGTGATGTATTTCATAACATTAAGAAAAAAGTAACAGGTTCTGCAAAGTTTTGACAGAGATTCTCTCTGTTCCACCACAGATAGCCCTATTCCTATTCCTTCTGCACTTGACCATAGGTTTGAAGGCCAAAATCTTTCTGCTTTAACTTCAAATGTGTTCTACTATTACAGCTCTGTGTAAAGGCAAAATCTTTTTTCCTATTCTTTTAATTGAACATAATAAACATTTTCCATCTCCATGTCTCTTTTACAGATATAAATTACATAAACTTATTTTTCCTTACTTTAAAATCTATTTGAAAACGTAATGCAAACATATCCAGGCAATCAGCCTCAAGTATTTTTTACTAGGTAAGGTAATTTAAGCCAAACCACAATATAACATTTGATATTTTGAACATTACCAATTCATTTGATGTGGCTGCTGGCTCATTTAATTGAAGATCAGATCTTCAAAAGAACATTAGGACTTGGTAAGCACTTTTAAACCGTCAGGAGAATCGCCAGTATGGTAAGGGGGCATGTAAGGAAAATGCTGCTTACCACTGCAAACACAGGAACCACACTGGCCAGAGCAGTTTGAGATGCATCTGTTATTTTCCTACACCAGAAAAATGCTGCAAGAAACACACAGTCATTCAGTTCAAGTTTCTTCAAGTTCCAAGCAAAAATCCATCCATTTGTTAGATGGATCCAATTCAGGGCCGCAGGGGAACCAGTGCCTATCTCAGCAGCCAAAGGATGCCAGTCTATCGCAGGGCATGCACAGATACAGACACACTGCTGCCTTGTAGCACAGGGGCCCTGGGTTCAATGTACACCTGAGGCACTATCTGTGTAGAGTTTGTATGTTCCCAGCCTCATATGGCTTCTGGGAAAATTGACCCAAGTGTGACTGTATGCCTGTCTGTCTGTGTCTGCCCTGCAGTGGACTGGCGTCCTGTCCAGGATCGACCTTGTCTTGCGCCTGTTGCTTGGCAGGAGATAAGCTCTGGCTCCCTCGCGACTCTGAATTGGATGAAGTGGTTAAAAAATGGATGTATGGACTAATGGAATAAAATCTTTATTTGGAAATAGACCCGTGCTGTACATTTTCTCCATTTCGTATCCAAGCATACACATCTGAACAAAACATTTAAGAATAATTATACAGATAATTTCATACAGGTATGTCCCTCACAAGAAATATCTACCCCAGATTCATGATTTTGACATTTGAGAAGGATGAAGTCTGTGAAATGCCTTTGTAGGATTCACAACTTATTCGACTCCAACTTATATGGAAAACAATAAGCCATAAAAGAGAGCATAACCTTGCTATAGTTGTCCTACACAAAGTTTGCAAATACCTGTTATATTCATAAAGTGGGAGTTATAGGATCTTAAGGCCTGGGTAACCCCTGTATAGCGGTATTAAAGCATCCCTGTCTTAAGATAGGGGTCTCAAATTCGATTACAGGTGACCCTGGTATCAAAGGCTTTTGTTCCAACCTTAAGCAAACAATAACTTTTTTTTCCTAGACTAATCTTGATCGTGGATTTTAAATAACAGTTTTACACGCTTTACATTGATTACAAAAAATATTCACTTTAGTAAAGTGATCTTTAAGTTCCCTATAACACACCTTGTTGCCTGGTTAAAAGCATAACAATTATGAAGTTAAAAAGTAAGTTTGAGCACCTTAAGGTATAGGTTTTATACTGAAAAAACAACAACAAAACCTGATACTAAGAAAGGTTTTTGATTAAATACATTAAAGGATCAATTGCTTTATCACCATGCAACTCACACTGAATGCATTGGGAAATAAACTAGATCTACGTACAATTCCTTCTTGGCTTCTGAAGCAGCGTGCGAACGTGACCAGCCGTCCTCCATGAATATGAATGCTGTGCGGACAGAGGTCTGCTAGGGACACTTTTGCACATTAAGCAGTGTGAAGAAATAAAAACAGGAGGAAAAACCGGTTTGAACTTCAATGTCCTGCACAGGCTTGTCCCCACAAGCACTCTAAAACAGACCTCCATCGCTTCAGGTGGGGGTCAACCTGAGTTTGGGGACAAAGTTACAGTCTCATCATTATGATGGAGAAAGTTTTTTTTTTCTGTCTTGCACAAATGCAGGTGACCAATTCCTCTTGACCGTCCACGGGTGAAGACAATTCTGGTACAGCTACACCCGCTTGCGACGAAAACCTCAATCCAACTGTGCCAGACGTAGGCCTAACCTATAACATAATAAAAACGATCATTAAAAATGTGGCAAAGTGTACTATTAGCTGTGTGGAGTACTGCTCTGAAATAGTCCTTCAAATGTCCACGTTACTCCGTCACAAGCAGAAGCGTGATAACTTCTGCCTAATCATTTAAACTAAAATTAAAACCCTATGCAAGCCCAGCTCCTGCTCCTTCTTCGATGCGAAAATCAAACGTTTAAATAAAAAAAAACGGACGACTTCTTAACAAAAAGCCAAAAGTTATTTAAGTGCATGTGCAACAGCTATTTCGTGCTTCCTTCTGCCAGAGACCATCATGCATGCTTAGATGGCAGAGTTGAAATGACTACTTCCTGTAACGACATCCACCAGGAAATGTACAGATCGCGGAAAGAGTGCATCCGAGTCCCATGCTTAGTGGCAGCAGTACAGTAGACCCGGTAGATTTTATGGAAAGCCCTTAATAACTGGGGTTTGATACCACTTTTTATGGAGAGAAAACTGGTATACTTGTGAATGGCTCTGTCCTTTAAAAAAAAATGGAATGACTATAAAATAAAACATATCAGTTTTCTTTCTACCGTGGGCGCTGCAGTTGTCGTTGAAATACACTGTGTATCGATATTCAGTTAATAGGCGTATACATGTTCTCTGCATGCTATTCCAAAACCAACGGTATGTTTCAAAAAACGTCTTTCACAACCCTGATCGTCGGGGTTTTCGTGGTGTATGTGCTGCACACTTGCTGGGTGATGTATGGAATCGTTTACACCAAACCTTGTGAAAAAATTCAAAACGAAAACTGTATTACGTCTTATCTGGCAGAGAAACCCCGACTACAGGTAAGCACAACGTTTATTTTAGCAGGCGCTATGCAGTTGAACTGAATGCAATTACTCCGTAATTGTGATTTGATATCACACGGAATCTATTACAATAAAACATACCTTCTGTTCCTTTTACCTTTGCTTAATCCGTGTAATGTGTTCATATATATGAATACAATTCATAAACTTGAAAATCTGATTTCAAGTTGTTGTTTTTAAAACAGCTCAGCATTTACACATCTTTAAAGCCTACTGGTGATGGCAACCAAAACCTCATCTTTAGCATGGAAGACTTTGAGGTATTCTCTAAGTTTGAGAGGTAAGCTGTTTACATCACATTGTGGACTGTTAAATACACAAAATGTAAAAAGCTATGGTAGCATGTATAAGGTAAGGTAAAGATATAGATATATAGATGTATCTTTGTCCTGAATAAATATAGTTTTGGGCAATTTAAAATGTGTGGAGGGCTGTACTTCCGAGTTTCAAGTAACCTCAAGATCCTTGGGTAATCCTGTTTTCTATTTTGTGAAGGAAAATAAATGTTTCCATTCCGAAGAAGACTAGGAACAATGGGACCTTGTACGCATTTGTGTTCGTCCACAAAGCTGGGGTTTCTCCTTGGCATGATAGCAAGCAGGTCCATCACATCGCTCAGCTGACCACGTACATGGTGCCCAAACCCCAAGAGATCAACCTCATCATTGGGGAGGACACCTCACAGGTAGATAGACATATTGAACCTTGCATGCATGAATATTTTAAATTAAGATTACTTAGTTCTAGATGCATAATATATTGCATAGGATGGCAGCAGGTTCTAACAAAATGGCATCCTTTATCTGGATTACATTCCCCCATAGCTTTAGGGGAAATGTGGTGTAGACAAGATCTGCCATTTTGTTAGAACCTGTTGCCATCTTCCAGTTGATTTATAAAATACCCTTGATTTAGCAGTGAAAGAATTTTCATCCTCAGATGAAGATGTCATACAATAAAAGGTAACATGCTGGGAAAAAATTACCTTTATGCTGTATACTGTACATGTACTAAATATACATTTTAACTATGTCCAGATTCAAGACATATTATTTTAGATTCTACCAAATTCCTGTGGACTGTACACAGAGGATTACTTCTGACACAATAGTTAATAGTAAAAGGAACAAATATACAAGTTAGTTATATTACCCAGCCCTGTATAGGTCAACAGTACATGACAGTGGTGAGGAATCATATCTACCGCTCAGTGAACTCTTGATTAAAGTTTTGTTCTGTTTTTGAAAATCCTTCTCTTTTTGTTTGTAAATAGCAGTCAGAACCACAAAAAAAGACTAACGGCTTGCAAGATAGGCCAGTTTCGCACTGGAGGTCTCGGCTCACTCTTAACGTATTGTCAGAGGACTTCGCCTTCGACAGAGAAGCTCTTCCAAGTGATGTGCATCGCTACATGAGAGTGTAGGTTACTGCAGGCAAATTCATTCTACATCTGCTGGCTGGAAAAAGTCAGACTAAGTGAAACGTCAGCACCTAGTGAAAATGTTTTTGTTTTACATTTCTGGGTGATTTAATGTCTGTTTTTGATACAAAGTATATTTTTTGTTCTGTTAGAAAAGAAGGCTTTTAGACACAGTATCTTCTCCGAGAAACCAATCTAGCTTATTTGAACAGAAATTAATTCTTGTTGACGTTAGTGTATTATCAAAAACTGAAATATTGTCAGCCTTGAAAAACAACAATAATTAAAACTACAATACTAGAATCTATGATGTATGAACTATGGACTTAGTTTTCATGATTTTAAATGTTTTTCTAATTCTGAATCAAGAAACAAATTCTGTTGCAGATAAGCTGAAATCCACTACTTAGGCTATGGTTTAGCCTACAAAGAAATTAACGTTTTTCAAAGATTATCTGTTTCGACATGCCAGTCTTTGATAAGGGCAAATAACATGACATTTTTATACTTTGTTTACCAAAGAAAATAATCAGACAGATAAACATAATTGTAAGGTGAATAGTACCAGTGACTCCAGAATATAAAACTGTAACTTGCTAATCTTAAGTATCATTTATGTGAGTAAAAAGACTTCTATCAACATGGATATTGCAAATGTTACAAACAGGAAAAAAGTGTTCTTCTGATTAGGGAAACAGCATAACCACACCAGAAAAATGAAATCTGTTTGACCAGAAAAAGAGTCTAGACAAGAAGAATCACTGATAACCGCTTTATACATTCTTGTGTTTTGCAGAATTCAGTATGGAAAGAGAATGTTGTATCTTCCCATATTGTTTATTGATGAACTGAGCAATCGGGTGAAGGATTTAATGGTATGTACTATGTGAAATTAATGCTAAATTGTTTTCTGACTCTGTTGATAGGGATGTTGGTAATATTGAAATTGCTTATTGCCTGAATTATTGCTTTTTGTGAGCTTTTTTAATTCATTTAAAAGGTTTCAGAAAATGATCTGTACTAGAAAACACTAAATCCAATTACCCCGCCCATCATTTTTTTGTTTCTATGGCACAGGATCCTAGGATTGATGTAAGGTTCTAAATTCCTAATTCAAAGGGCTTTATTTGCATGACTAATTAATTGCAGTGTTGCAAAAGCAGATAACCATTAATACAACATTTATATACATTTACAGTATAAACATTATTGGATATTTAAATGCACCACATAAAATATTTTTGTGAGACATACTCACTATCTGTCTGTGACATGAGATCATATATAGGGCTTTAGTTTTATTGAGTTTCTTCCCCCATTAGGATTGGAAGCGATTCTGATTTTTGCAGTTGTGGGGATTCTGGGATTAGGATTGTTATTAGTGAAGAATCCTTGTCTAATCCCAGAGTATTTCTCATAGTGCTGCAGAAAGTGCATCTCAGTCTCTGTTTCTCCCTGCTGGCAGTGGGAGCACATTCTGTCCTCTCTGGGCAGCCAGGTTTGTCTGTGTTGCCCAGAATCTATGGACAGGCTGTGGTCACTTAGCCTATATTTCATCAGGTTTGCTCTCTCTTAATTTATTCAGATACTCAGCTAGTGCGTTTTGTCTTTTAGAGTGATGTAGCATGTAGTTGTTTTGTGTTTGTGTGTTCCAAAGGGCAAGGTAGTGTTGTTTAGTTTGTGCTGTGATTGAACAATACAACACCTTCCTTATCTGAAGATCTTTACACTGAAAGAAACAAATAGGACTTCAAATGATCCTGATCAGACAAGATAATTGGGGGCTGGCTACCAATTATTTGTTTTTATCTAATGGAGTGTTTTAAAGGTGCTGCTTAGAGATTGGTGGATCTGGTCAGAGAGGCACTATCCATCAATCCACAGGCAATTTATTGTTAAACTTCTGTCTTGCTAGCCTTAATCAGCTCTGAAAGACCCTCTATGCTAAACTGTACTGAAAGACCTCAGAGAAGAGATGGCAGATGCACATATAAATGCAGTCTCTAGAAAAATGTAATTGTATTGTATTTTGATAAGTTGGCAAGTTACCCCACAATTGTAACCTGATTTGTATTCCCAGGTACTATAAATTCTCTAGCATTAAAAAAAGAGATCATTTGGGAATGATCTGATACTTAAAAAAGAAAAATTCTGGCTCTATTAACAAAATAAAATGCTTTAATTACAGGTCATAAACAGTTCAACAACTGAGCTGCCACTCACAATTTCCTATGATACGATTTCCCTTGGAAAACTTCGTTTCTGGATTCACATGCAGGATGCTGTTTACTCCTTACAGCAGTTTGGTATGTTAATCGAATGCATCTTATTGTTCAAGCTTGCACGTCAGTACTTAAGTATAAACAGATATAAGGATCCTCATAGATTCCTGTAACATTACAACTTGTATTTTAGCAAGCCTGTGTTGGATTTGATGTGTTAAGAATGGCACAATTCTAAAGTAAACCTCTATTAAATTGTGATTCTTAATTTTTAAAAGAGACATGGGAAAAATTAAATTTATTTCATTTTTGCTGCTGTTTTCTGTAGATGATGTTTGGAGTCTACAGGTCTATCAGTTGAACTGTGCTCCATGCTGCAGAAAGAGAAATATAAACCCCAGATCAATGCCGTTTTCAATACAGGGAGTTTTTAATTACGATCTGGCCTGATTTAGTAGATTGAACTTTTGATTTTCCTTGTGGTAGATTTTTCACAGACAGTTGTCTTGGAGGCAGATACCCTTTTTGAGATATTTAATTCAATCATGTATGGTCAGCTTTATTCCTTCCTTATGGTTTGAAAAGTAACCATTTGCCATCTTTACTGTTTTTTATTGAGAGCATGTGACCCATTCTTTGACTGTCCATGATTTTATATACCCGAAGAATAAAAATAGTGTTAAAAACGTTTTCTATAAAGAATTAGTAGAGATCCTAGATATTTTTTTTTGTTTCACATATATACTGTAGAAATCAATCATCACTCAAAGTGCTCTATGTTTTTTACAATGTGGTTTAATTTCTTTAAGGCTTCACAGAAAAGGATGCAGATGAAATTAAAGGAATCTTTGTGGACACCAACTTGTACTTCTTAGCTCTGACCTTTTTTGTGGCAGCATTTCATGTAAGTCTTTACGATTGTCCTACTGTACAATGTGCCAAATGACAATTTGGTTTGTTTTGACTTAGGTTTTGTTTACATCCCGTAGAAATGGGAACGTTTTGATAAATAACTTTCTAATCATCTTTCTCGCAATTTTTCTTTATTTTCTGTTTTTTGAACGATGTCTTAAGTATCAATTAACCAAATTTTAAAATTATTTTTATTCTAAAAAAGGATCAGAATATTTTATCTGTTGGATGTTAATTGAAAAGGATTGGAGACATGTTAAGGATATTTTAG